AGTGATTGTCTACTAGGACTCCGAGGTCCCTCTCACAGTTACTACTATTGAGCATGGTGCCACCTATGCTGTACTTGTGCATTTGGTTTTTCTTGCCTAAATGTAGAACCTTGCTTTTTTCACCATTGAATTTCATTTTGTTAGTTAGTGCCCAGTGTTCAAGTCTGTCCAGATCCTTCTGTATCTTAAGCCTGTCTTCTGGAGTGTTGGCTATTCCTGCCAGCTTGGTGTCGTCTGCAAATTTGATGAGTTCCCCATCTATCCCTTCATCCAAATCGTTGATGAAGATGTTGAAGAGTACTGGGCCCAGAACAGAGCCCTGGGGCACCCCACTACACACTTCCCTCCATATAGATGCAGTTCCATTGAGGACCACTCGCTGAGTACGGCCGGTCAGCCAGCTACGGATCCATCTGGTGGTGGTTCTGTCTACCCCACATTTTTCTATCTTGTCAAGTAGTAGGTTGTGATCTACTTTATCAAATGCCTTACTGAAGTCCAAGTAAATTATGTCCACAGCATTCCTCTGATCCACTAATTTTGTCACTTGGTCAAAGAATGCAATAAGATTTGTCTGGCATGATCTATTTTTGACAAACCCATGTTGGCTTTTAGTAATGACTTTGTTTGCCTCTAGGTGTTCGTTGATTCGTTGTTTGATTATCTTTTCCAGGATCTTCCCAGGTATTGAGGTCAGGCTGATAGGTCTGTAATTTCCTGGATCCATTTTTTTTCCTTTTTTGAGGATGGGAACTACATCAGCTCTTTTCCAGTCCTCTGGTAGTTCCCCTGTGTTCCAGGATCTTTGAAAAATATAGTTCAGTGGCTCCGATATCACATCTGCCAGTTCCTTGAGAACTCTGGGGTGTAATCCATCTGGTCCTGGAGATTTGAACTCATCTAGGCTGGACAGGTGCTCACTAACCATTTTCTTGCCTATCTTAACTTGTGTTTCTGTTTTGTTTTTTATGGCACTATTTTTGATAGTTTGGTCTGTTTTTTCCCTTTGTGTAAAGACAGATGCAAAAAATGAGTTAAATAGTTCTGCTTTCTCCCTGTTGCTTGTCACCTTCTTGCCACTTCCACCCACTAATGGACCAATCATTTCCTTCACTTTTTTCTTGTTTTTTACATGTTGAAAGAAGCTTTTTTTGTTATTTTTGACTTTGGTCGCAAGCCTTAGTTCATTTTGAGCCTTGGCTTTCTTCACTTCATCTTTGCAGGCTCGGGCTATTTGCTGATATTCTGACTTAGTTATGTTCCCCTCTTTCCACTTTCTATACTTGTCCTTTTTATCTTTCAATTTGTCAGAGAGTTCTTTATGCAGCCATGCTGGTTTCTTTTGAGAGCTGTTGTTTTTCCTCTTTGTTGGTATTGTGCTAGACTGTGCTTTTATTATCTCATTTTTCAAAATTTCCCAAGCTTCTTGAGTTGTTTTCCCCTTGAGGATTCTCATCCATGGAATCCTTCCCAAGCCCTCTCTAAGTTTATTGAAATTAGCTCTCTTGAAGTCCAAGACTCTAGTTTGACTGTGTTCTATTGCTTGTGCTTCTATAATGTTGAATTCTAATATTGCATGATCACTTCCTCCCAGGGTTCCTATGGCTTCAACACCGTCTATCATTTCATCTCTGTTAGTGAGAATTAGATCCAAAATGGCTAATCCCCTAGTTCCCTTCTCTACTTTTGGGAGACAAAGTTGTCTGCTAGGTTTGCCAGGAACCTGTTTGATCTTCCACTTGGTGCGGAGTTTGTCTCCCAGTTGATGTCAGGGTAGTTAAAGTTCCCCATTACTATTGTGATGTGCTTCCTACATACCTTAGTTAGCTGACTAGCAAAAAGTTCATCTATTTCCTCTGTTTGGTTGGGTGGTCTGTAGTATACACCTATGGCAATGTCATTCCCCCCCCCTTTTATATTGACCCAAATGCATTCAAGACAGTTTTTATCATTGTTGTACTCTATTTCTGTGGAGATGTAGTTATTTCTTATATAGAGAGCAACTCCACCTCCTCTTTTATTTGGTCTGTTTCTTTTAAATAATTTAAATCCCTCTAGCTGTGTGTTCCATGTGGGTTTCATCCCACCATGTTTCCGTAATGGCAACAATATCGTATCTGCCCTCATTAACCTGAATTTCTAGTTCACCCTGTTTGCTGTTCATACTCTGTGCATTGGTGTATAAACATTTGAGTCCTTTGTGAGTGGCCCTGTGTTTCCTTTCTACATAACCTGTGTGATGCCTGAGTTCCCCTATTGTCTTACCACCTATTTGGTTAGTGCACTTTATGTGGCACTCACTATTAGAGGCTTCATTTTGCTTGATAGCAAGGTTGGTATTCTTGTCCACACACACATCTATGCTACATGCACTGATAGCCCTATAGTTTTTAAATTGCCGGGGACAGGGTTGTTCCGTATCAATTAACTCCCTGTCCCCGTTGTTTAGTTTAAATTTCCCTCCAGAAAATCTGTGAATTTATAGCCGAGTAACTCAGTCCCTTTTTTTGATGGATGCAAACCATCTCTTTTGTACATCTTTTGATTGGACCAGCTACTGACATCGTGACTAATATATCCAAAGCCTTCCACTTTACACCACTCCTTTAGCCACATATTGAATTGTGCTATGCGCTGGCCTTTTCCGTTTTGCTCCTTATACACTGGTAAAACCTCTGAGAAAGTAAGCCTACAGCCTATTCTGCTAAGTTCCTTCCCCAAGCTCTGGAAATCCTTCTGCACAGAGAGTACATCTTTTTGGGACAGATCATTAGTGCCAAGGTGTACAATAGCCTCCACATCACAGTCCTTGCTGCCATTCTTGATTATTTTAGAAATACGCTTCTTGTCCCTACTGGCAGTAGCACCTGGAAGACACCTGACCTCTTTCAAAGCCTCTGTGTCCTTTCCTAAATTTACATCCCTTATAATTGAATCACCTACCAGAAGGTAGCTTCTCTTTTTTGGGAGCCTTTCTATTCTTGCATGACTGATGTGCAATACCTGATTCACACTTCTCCCTGTCAAAATCTAGTTCTTCATCTCGGACCACAATCCCCTGCTTATTTGAGTTATCTTCACAAATACCTTTACCTGTCTCCTTAATGTCCCTATTAAGGTCAGCAAGGGCACTGTAACTGTTGTGCAGGGACACAGCAAAAGCTTTGTGTTTATGGTTCACAGCTCTCACCCTGCCAGATCCCCCGGTTGTCCACACTGCCCTTCTCCTGCAGGATCTTTGTGGTAAAGGGGGCTGATAGCACGGAGGCTTACTAGAGTAGAGGGGCTGAACTGGACACCTAATTTCTGCCCGAAGAGCACGGATTATGCAAGTCAAAAAGATCCGAGCACCTTTTATTGCTTGTAAAGGCATCACTAAAAAGAAGCAAAGGAAAGAAAGAAGGGATGGTGAGAATATACAGAAGAGATCTATGCAGGTAGTAAAGAGACCCGGTGTACGGCTGACAAGGAAAGAGAATCAGAAATAGAACTCACCACCCTTGAAGAAGAGATATGGGTGATGAACCATCTGCCAAACAACAGGGTTCCAAGTGCTGATACTATAGTATCTCTGCAGAATTACTGAGACCTGTACCACTCAGAGTCATTAGAGACCTGTGCCAGAAAATCTGGGAAACCAACGCATGGCCAAGGATTGAAAAACAGGATTCATTCCACTGTCAAAAAAGTATGACTCTAATGATCACACAATTGCTGTCATCCTTCACAACAGCAAGGTTCTACTTAAAATTATATAACAATGCCTAGACCAACCATCAAAAGGGAATTACCAGATGTCTAAACTGGCTTCCAAAGTGATCTTGGCACCCACAACCATATTGCAAATCTGTGCTGGATCATGGAAATATCTTGTATATATCAAAAGTTCATTTATGTGTGCTTTATCGACTGCAAGAAAGCCTTTGATTGTGTTGATCATGAGAAGCTATGGAGAGCCCTACAATACCTGGGGGTACCAGCACATCTGATCAAGTTGGTGCAATCACTGTACACAAATCAGAAAGTCATTGAGCAAACACTATATGGAGACCCTGATTGGTTTAAGATAGAGAAAGGAATGGGACAAGATTAAGATTGTTAGAAATAAAAGGAAGGACTGTAAAATTGGCTTATTTGATCAAGGTTAATATAAATATTGGTATTACTCACAACCCTTAATGGACTTTTACTGACATAAGGACTGAAATGATGATGCTTTATGGATTTATTTATAGATAGAGATGAGGCATGGGATGAAGTGATTATTGGTTGTACATTAGGAGGAGAAAAATTACTAAAATTGTTTATACTTGTTATGATGAGGGTTGAAAGTCAATTCTTTATGTACTTTTTTCTTCACAATATTTTTCTGTTTTCTATTTTTTTTATTGCACTTTTTATCCTTTCTACTCATTTTTCTCTTTTTAGTTTTTATTAGTTTTTACTATTGCATAATATTTAAGAAAATTATTTTAAAAAACAAAACATCTATGTAATAGGTGCTATTATTTTTTTTCTTTTTTTATATTGGGCTTTTATCCTTGTAAGCCATCTGGAGCCACCAAGAGTGAGTAGGGCAGCCATATAAATTTTCTTAAATAAATAAATGAATTGCTTCTCTGGGGAGAAAGAATGGACACATACATACACAGGCAAACATTGCTTGTAACGTGGAAGAGAGTAAAAAGAACTTCTATAAGCATTGCTGGTAAAGGAGCATAAATAATTATCAAAGAGAAGGAAAATATAACTAAAATCATCTTAATTAGAATTTAAGTATACTAATGAAAGCTGTCTTCGCTATAATTCATTTAAAAGTATCAAAGTAACAGAAATCAAAGATCTCCCTCGTGTGGACATTTACAAATACTTTACTATTACATAAAAACGTATTAAACGTATTTCCATAGTTCAGATTGTTAATCCTATTTAAAATGTATCATTTCACAATATGGAAAAACGAAAAGCCACTTAAAAAAAAAAGTACATAAAATATTTACCTGAAATGTCTACCATTTTTTGTCGCTTACAGCAAAGTTCATCTTTAAGTTTGGTGGTAGCTTTTCGTTTCCCAACACCTAAAGCATGCAAAGCAAAAAAAAAAAACAAAAAAACACAGGGAATCTAAGTGTATAGCCTTTCATGCTTTCTAAACATATGTACCATCCCAACACCCTTAAGCAAAACTGTCCTTTTCTTTTAATCCCACACATACCCCATTACAAACTGGCTTCAAAGTAATTTTCCAAAGCAGCTTTTTCAAGTGATGAGATCTGCAACTAATGAGACTGAAAATCAGCCAATATCTAAAGAAATGTAAGTGCTGCCAATTCAGCAGGAACACTACCACAGCTAGGGATGTGAAACCAGTGGTGCCCTGAATGATGCTAGGCTTCAACCAGCATCAGTCCAGTTACCATGTCAGCATCAAAAGAAATGATCTGAAATTTAAATTTAAATTCTCTCAAATTAAAGCATTGGTCCTAGGTGCAGAAGTTAGGATGGTATTAATGCACACAACCCGATACTGTAATACTTGAATATACAGTATCTGGCTATAGACATAGAGAGGTTTAAAAGTATAGAAATATCAGGCTTCAGGGGAAGATATTTTGGGTGCAATGGTCTATTTGTAGTGGGTTATTTCCTTACAATTGATGGGTATTGTATATATAAAGCCTCTGCCTTGAACTTGGTTGGGACAATTCTATGAAAAAAGATATGCCTTTGTAAAAAATTGGTGTTGGATTATGTTTTAGCCCCAAACATGCTTTTCTGTCCAATTAACTGGTGATTATCTTTTCCCCTAAACATCATTTGTCTGCGTCCTACACCTTTAATAAATCATTAATAAAACATTAAGGACACCGTAGCTGGATTATATTTTTTCTTAGATAGAACACAAGGTTAACAAAGGCATTATTATAATGCTGAGTTGTGCTTCAGCAATAATGTTTATAGTTGCAAAGACACATGAATGCTCCCATTTGAGAAGTCATAAAAAAGTTAATGTAATGATATGGTGTACAAAACCATTTTTAAGCAGATCTGTTCCAAACACTTACAGTTAAAAGATTTTTCCTGCTCATTATCATTCTGGTTATGTAGAGTCCAATCGGCTATCCAATGCAAAAAAGAAAAAGCATGTAGTAAAGTAGTTTGCAATACTGATTAAAGAATGACATAATTAAAGAATGATATAAACAATGCAGGTCAAATAAATAAGTTTATTTTATAGCTTTTAAAAATATATGGCCCACATCTTTAAAGAATTTCATAACTTCGGTCAGCATTTTACATATAATAAATAAGAAAACTCCATTTTTTCATGGAGCTTGAATTTGCTATTAATTTATTAATTTTAAAAATGTATACAGTATGCTAGTCAAATATTTGAATAAACAGAAATATTTTAAGACAACTCCTAAACTGAAACAAAGAGAAGGCCAGCCTCAAATCTATCCACTACAATTAAGACAGAATTAAAGTTAAGATTACAGCCAGTCATTCCAAAATAGTGAAGGTCTAAGAGCATATGGTAGAGTCTGTAAAAGTTAAAAGTGCTTTGTGTTGTGTTAAGTACTTTGTGTCTTACCCAGTAAAGACAGAATTTATTTAAATGAACTTTCCATAGATTATCTATGACTGATTGTCAATCATTTAAAAATAGCTATGCCCCACAATGATAATCATATCTAAAATTAGAAAGAAAATAATACTAGAGTCAAATAAGCAGGTGTTTGTATTCGCAATTGCTGCAAAGGCTTTTCCATGAACCAAGCCACAGACATATTAAAATAATCAAAAGATCAAAAGATAGTTGGTAACCACATAAAACAGCAAACATAGCATAATACAGACAGACTGTATTGTTGCCTTAATTTTCCCTCACCTTGTGTGGTTACATAAAATCCCCAAACTAATTTTTCATATGAGAAATTTAAAAATATTTATGTTTATTCTGTAGATTTTTTTTGTAGGAGCTTTAGAATTAAAAGCTATTTTTATTTACAAAAATAAATCAAACCCAAAGTAACATAAAATGCACAAATTGTCACTGTAGGTGAATTTATTAATTACAATTCATTATTAAATGTTTAATAAAAATGTCTAGATCCAAGCAGCGTAAGCTGGATTGTGCTCAATATATGCTTACATTCTCTGAGCTTTGCCTTCCACACAACTTCTTCAGACTCCAAATCCACCAAAGATAACATAAGTTCCATTGGCTGTTCTAAATATACCTCAAAGAAAGGCTTCTCTGCCAGGGTGGAGTCATCTCCAAACTGAATTTCCTAGAAAAGGGATATTGAAATATAAAAAAGTCTGCTTACTGTGACAAAATACTTTTGTTCTTTAAAGTATTCTTCTTTATGAATGTATAAAGCATTTTGCTGTACATGTCATTATGGTAGCAAAGGCTAGATCTCATTTAAAATAACAATTGCCCTAAAATTGGAAGTACAAATGATGACATTTTCAAGTTTCACAAACTCTACATATGTTGACAAATCAATTATCAAAGAAGAAGAAACATACCTCAGGGGTTATGTCAGCTTCCGGATCACTAGTTAATCTGTATTTCTTTCCATTTTGCAGTAATTTATGACAAGGAGGCTTTTCAATTTTAATGAATTTATTAAGAGATCGTCTTACAGTTTTGGATATATCCTAAAAATAAAACCAAACCTTTTTGAAAATTGTCTATATAAAATGTAATATTAATAATAGACATATTAGATATACATTTTATCAACCTATTTCAGTCTAAAAAGGGGCTAGATCAGCAGTTCTCAGCCTGTGGGTCGCGAACCTTTTGGGGGTCGAATGACCCTTTCACAGGGGTTGCCTAAGACCATTGGAAAACACATATTTCCGATGGTCTTAGGAACCGAAACACCGCTCCGCATCCGTCTCCACACGGCCTCCTCTGCCATTTGCAGAGAGAGAGAGGGGGGGGGCACTTTCGCTTCCCTTCTCTCTCTCTCTCTCAGGCAGACTTACCTCCTGCAGGGCTCCTGATTAGCCCTGCGCCCGGGTGCCCCATCCCCTGGGAGAAGCGCGGCCAGGGCCTCATGGCCTTGGAGCCGTCCAGAGAAGCCCCAGGATCCCTGTTGGGAATGGCCCACTGGAGGCTCCACTGAGTGGGCTAGCCCTCCCGCAAGCCGCAGCCCAAGGGAGACCAGCTACTTCAATCCCTAGCCAGCCTGGCCATTGGACCCGCTGGCCAGGAAGGTGCACCAAAGTCCAGGCTGCCGGGAAGGAAGAAGATGCACCAAAGGTAGGAGAGGAGAGCTGCCTCCTGGGGCCCAGCGCTAGCGGTGGCTTCCTTGCCATCCTCTTCCTCCTCACCTTCTTCCTCCTACTGCCCCCAAGGCAGCTCGGGCAGGTGCTGGGAGGAAGAGGGGTACCGGGGAAGCAGCCGGGCTGGTGGAGGGGCTGGCGGGCCGCATAGCACCAGCTCCCACCGTGGCTCCATCGGATGGGAGGAGGGTAAGGCCGGGCAGTGCGGGGGCGGCTTGGGCAGTGGCGGCAGTTTTCTCGCCCTTCTCCTCTCCTTCCTCCTGCTGCCCCAAAGAGGCTCGGGCGGGCACTGGGAAGAAGAGGGATGCCTGGGGGGGAGCAGCTTGGCTGGCAGAGGGGCTGGCAGGCTGCGCAGCACCAGCCCCCACCACGGTTCCATCGATGGATGGAGGATGAGGCCGGGCAGCACGGGGGCAGAGGGGACCCGATGATGCAGCAGCGGCGGCTGCTGCCGCCACATCCACTGCCTCCATCCTGCTCCCCCTCCCCACCCATTCAGCTGAGGACGCGGTGAAGTCCGGGCCAGGGGCGGCGGGGACCCCCAACGATGCTGCCATAAGAGAGAGAGAGAGAAAGAGAGGAAAGAGAGAGAAACAGAGGAAAAGAGAGGAAAGAGAGAGAGAAAGAGAGGGAAAAGAGAGAGAAAGAGAAAGGAAGGAGAGAAAGAGAGAGAGAGAAAGAAAGAGAGGAAAGAGAAAGGGAGGAAAGAGAAAGAGGAAAGAGAGAGAGAAAGAGAGAAAAGGGAGAGAAAAGAAAAAGAGGAAAGAGGGAAAGAGAGAGGAAAGAGGGAGAGAGAGAAGAGAGAGGAAAGAGAAAGAGAAGAGAGAGAGAGGAAAGAGAAAGAGAGGGAAGAGAAAAGAGAAAGAGAGGAAAGAGAGAAACAGGAAAAGAGAAGAAAGAGAGAAAGAGAAAGAGGGAGGAAAGAGAGAGAGAGGAAGAGGAAAGAGAGACAGAAGAAAGAGAGGAAAGAGAAAGAGAGGAAAGAGAGAAAAAGAGAGAGGAAAGAAAGAGAGGAATGGCACTTCTCCAACCAGGCTAGGCAGAGCCGGCGGAGCGACCTTCCTGCTCCCCCTCCCCGGCCAGCTGGATGGGGGGTTGGGGGTCATCACAACATGAGGAACTGTATTAAAGGGTCGTGGCATAAGGAAGGTTGAGAACCACTGGGTTAGATTATCTGCTCAATATTTTAAATTCATTCATTATATTATATCCTCATTTAGTGTTCTGGCTCCCATTTGTTTTATTAGAAAGAAATTGTACTTTCCCAGTTTTGAGCATGTATGTAGGAATCCTAGAAATGTTATGCAGAACTGGTTATATTGAGGGTATGTATAGGAAACCTAGAAATGTTATATTCAGAGATATATAAGAGCCAATGTGTCTCATGGTTAAGGCAACAGACTAGAAACCCTGAGACTTTGAGTTCTAGTCATGCCCTAGCCATGAAAGCCAGCTGGATGACTTTGGGCCAATAACTCTCTTTCAGCCCTTTTTCACCTCACAGAGCTGTTGTGGGGAGAAGAGGAAGGTGTGTTTGATATGTTCGCTGCCTTGAGTTATTTATAAAATTAATAAAGACGGGATACAAATAAATATAAACATAGCAATTAATTTAATTATCTGTCTAGCCTTTGTTGAGCAATTTTTTTTAACTATTTTATTTTATTTTAGGTTAGAGACCAAATCTTTAAAAGTACATTCAAAACAAAATAAATTAAAAGCATATGGAGTTGAATAAAATATATATACATAAATTCAAACAGTAAAATGGTAGAATACCGTAAATGCCGGCGTATAAGACGACTTCCGTGAGCGCTGAAATTGGCGCCAAAGACGGGGGTCGTCTTATATGCTGAGTCGTCTTATACGCCGGAAATACTGGTAGTTTCCGGCGTATAAGACGACGTTCTAGGAATGCGGCCCGGCTATAAAGACGGGGGTCGTCTTATACGCCGGGTCGCCTAATATGCCAGCATATACGGTAATGATAAGCAGTAAAGCAGAAAATGTCATTGGAAATGGCATTTCTGACTCCTAAATGTCACTCAGCTGATCCAGATCGAAGTGAGTTTAAACCCATTGAATTTCAATGGCAAGGGAGCCAAACCAAGTCACTTTCTTAGAACTTTTTATTAAGTACCCACTAGAAAGAATTTTATAGTCACAGCTTTTAACAAGGATGAAGAGCTTATTTTCCAAAAAAAGTTTTTTTAAAAAAAGTTGATCTTACCTTTATAAATGAATTGTTATTTGTAGCTATATACACACGGAATTTCAAGGAAGGATGATTGTTGATAACTTTATATAAAATGACTACCCCATGATAATAAACTGGATCATATCTCTCAATTACTGGTCCAACTGGAGACAGTGAGCTCACGTGCCATTTGACATGGGTGGTTGAATGATCAATGGAGCCTTCAAATTCCGGACCATTCTTTTTGAAATGGAATACTTTGAAGGCCTTCTCAGACAAATGATCTGCACACAAATTCCAAAATGTTAGAACTTTCTCAAGAATGTGCCATAATACATAAATATATGAGATAATGTTTACAATGAATCTTACCATTCAGGCAGAGGGTGTGTGGAAACTGAATGGAAGTAAGAACGGAAGAAGTACATTTGATATCAAATATAGGGCCCACAACAATCCAAGGATCTTTAACATAAGCAGCATATTTGGTCCAAGACAAAACTGAATATTCAATGGTGACAGCTCTGGTTACTTCAAAAATTAACCCTGTTGCTGTACATTCAAAAGTTCCTTCACCATCCAACTTCAAGCTAAACAAATGACATACAAAAGATAACTGTGAGTCTATAATACCATCAAATGATAGTTAACATTTTTTATCTTTCCAAATAAATATTTAAAAACACACAGATGGAATATTGGTGCTTAGCATAATTCTTCCGCCTATGAGCAGTAAGATACTTTAAAAATGTTTTAAAGTTGTAGTCCTGCAAACCATTCCTTAACAATACAAAAAGATGAAAATCACAAATGTTATATTTGTTATATACCCTTAGCAAACAGATTGTTAGCTATTGATATAATTAGAAGTATTCATATCATTTAAATAACAATAATAATAATAAAGTTGGAAAGGACCTTGGAGGTCATCTAGTCCAACCCCCTGCTGAAGCAGGAAACTCTACACCATTTTTGACAAATGGCTGATCAGTCTACTTAAAAACTTCCAGTGTTGGAACATTCACCACTTCTGCAGGCAGGTTGTTCCACTGGTTAATTGTTCTAACTGTCAGGAAGTTTCTCCTTAGTTCTAGGTTGCTTCTCTCTTTGGTTAGTTTCCACCCTTTGCTTCTTGTCCTCCCTTCAGGCGCTTTGGAAAATAGTTTGACTCCCTCTTTTTTGTGGCAGCCCCTGAGATATTGGAACACTGCTATCATGTCCCTCCTCGTCCTTCTCTTCATTAAACTAGACATACCCAATTCCAGCAGCTGTTCCTTATATGTTTTAGCCTCCAGTCCTCTAATCATTTTTGTTGCTCTTCTCTGTACTCTTTCTAGAGTCTCAACATCTTTTTTACATCGTGGTGACCAAAACTGAATGCAGTATTCCAAGTGTGGCCTTACCAAGGCATTGTAAAGTGGTATTAATACTTCACGTGATCTTGATTCTATCCCTCTGTTAATGCAGCCTAGCACTGTGTTGGCCTTTTTGGCAGCTGCAGCACATTGCTGGCTCATATTTAAGTGATTGTCTACTAGGACTCCGAGGTCCCTCTCACAGTTACTACTATTGAGCATGGTGCCACCTATGCTGTACTTGTGCATTTGGTTTTTCTTGCCTAAATGTAGAACCTTGCTTTTTTCACCATTGAATTTCATTTTGTTAGTTAGTGCCCAGTGTTCAAGTCTGTCCAGATCCTTCTGTACCTGAAGCCTGTCTTCTGGAGTGTTGGATATTCCTGCCAGCTTGGTGTCATCTGCAAATTTGATGAGTTCCCCATCTATCCCTTCATCCAAATCGTTGATGAAGATGTTGAAGAGTACTGGGCCCAGAACAGAGCCCTGGGGCACCCCACTACACACTTCCCTCCATGTAGATGCGGTTCCATTGAGGACCACACGCTGAGTATGGCCGGTCAGCCAGCTACAAATCCATCTGGTGGTAATTAGCATGCATAATATAATTAGTAGAATTAGTGTACATAATAGTACTAGCCTCTTAGACTATGTTTTTTACACTTCACATAATGATAATGAATGTATTTTAATGTGCTTTTAATAAGTAACGGTAAGTTAGAAAGTATACCAAAAAATTCATAATTTCCATCTTTTATGAAGTGGGCTTCCTTTTCATAATTCCAGAATAACCAATACTCTGAAATATATGAAGTCATAGACAGACAGACAGACAGACACATATATAGATATGTAACTTATATATAGATATATCCTAAACTCCTAAAACAGTATGCTAGAAGAATAAGGTATATATAGCAATTTTTGTATAAATGTTCTTGATTTAATAATTATCAACCAATAACTTTCCTTCATTTTTTTTTCTATTCCATCAAAATACTTGAGCAATGAAGTGAATATGTAGAATTAGCAGCAGATCCTCCCACATCCTTTACTAATTGATAGCATGCATATATAAATTTGGACCTGCACAATTATATACATGTAAACATAAAAAAAAAAACAATTCCAGTTATGTTTCCAATAATAATAATAATAATAACAACAACAACAATAATAATAAATAACTACCAAAACTGTCCTTTCAGAAATCTTCTGGGAGTGACTTGTTCATGTTGCTTCTTTATATTTAAAAGAAAAGAAAAATAAATTATTGAAATATCAGTGGTACCTTTATGAAATAAGATTTAAGGCAACTTGAAATTTTCAAACCTACTTTTTGAATTATGCAATGTTTACAGCATTGCTGGATGTTAACTTCTAAAATGAAACAATAGAACAAAATTAAATTTTTTTAAAACATAAAACTTTTTAACATTGCAACATATACAATGTTCTAAGGGTCAATACCAGATTCGCCACCATTCGGGAACTCTTTTTCTTCTGGTTTTTCAACTGTAAAGCAAACAAAAAATAATAATCATAAACTGAACCAGATAGGAATTTTAAAATTGTTATCAAAACATGACATTTGAATGATCCCTGTCCTTTTAGATCTCCCATCTCTGTTTAATTAATTAATTAACTTTAATTCATTGCCTGTGCTCCATTTTCCAGAATTCTGGACAATATTGCAAAATATACAATGTCTGTACCTGATTCGCTACAATATAGCTGTAACTCTTTCTCTTCTGCTTCCTCAACTGTAAAAAAAATAATAAAGTGAATCATAAACTGAATCAGTTAGGATTTTTAAAATCGTTATCAAAATATAACCTGTGAATAATTCCTATAATTTGAGGTCATATCAAATTAACAACCTGCACCCTGTGCATTTTATTTTAATTAACTGCCTGTGCTTTATTTTCCAGAATTCCGGCAATCTCAATATTTTCATATTATTTTAGGGCAACAGAAGATTCTTCTCACATGATATAATCAAGCTACACAACTTGCTATGCTATCATATGAGAGCCAACACATTAAACCAGCTACAGAAACAAACATGGTGCTAGACTTCCACAGCTATTAGCGATGACAGCTTGTTAAATATTCCTTACTCATCTGCCAGTGCCTGCTATCCTGGATAAACCACTAGTGCAAAGTTACTATTAAGGAACTCATTTATAAGCTTGCTGGAAGCATAAAACTGACTGCTAAAAGAAACAGAATATTGAATTAGGAAGATAATTCACCTGTCCTAACAGAGATTTTATGTTCCTATACATTCAGTTTTCCAGTTTGTAATGAAAGTCAGAGATGATCATGATAACCATATTCTTATTACTAATTATAGCTGTTGGACATTCCAGTCTACCTATTACAGCTGATAAAAATTAGAATTTTAATCCAGATGTGACTTCTGTTATGAGAGATAAGGTTGGCATTCACCGTTGACCACTCTATTTAGTTAATTCACCTTAAATTCCTCAAAAACCTTTTTCGAAAATGATTCAGATCATATACTCAATATCATTTCATTATTACCAGATTTTCAGCATGAAATTATCAGAAAAAAATAATCAAATTAGGTTTTTAGATACCTAACATGTTCATATGAATTGTAAAGTATTACTGAAGGGAATGCAAATTAAAGAGAAATGGAAAAATGCAAAACAATGGAGCAGCAGGCATCTAAGAAGTCTACTGAACATTGGTCAATAGTGGAAAAAAATAGAAAATAATGTTTACATAAACAAGATAAATAAACAGAGCAAGATATGCAGTCCTTGACTTATGACCACAATTGACCCCAGTTTCCATTGCTAAGCAAAATAGATGTTAAGTGAGTTATGCTCCATTTTATGACCTTTTCTGCCACAGTTATTAAGCGAATCATTACAATTGTTAATTCAATCATGCAGTTGTCAAACAAATCTGGTTTCCCCATTGACTTTGGTTGTCAGAAGCCAGTTGGGAAGGTTACAAATGGGGATTACATCCCTCCGGATCACTGCAACTGTCATAAGTACATGCCAGCTGCCAAGCACCCAAATTTTGATCACATGACCATGGGGATGCTGCAACAGTTACAAGTGTGAAAACCGGTCATAAGTAATTTTTTTCCATTGTCATTGAAAATTTGAATGGTCACTAAAATGAATGGTTGTAAGTTGAGAACTACCAGTATATGTCAGAACACTGTATATGGCTCATAACTGGTGGGATGCAAGCAACAATAAAGTGACTTTCAAGGTAGACTCTATATTAGAAATCCTAGTTTGAAGGAAAATTTGAGCATATTTGCAGTAAAATTAGGTGTTGGTTGCTCCAAATAGGCAAAAAGTAACAGACAGTATCTTTACCATTTATAAGAAATGCTGCATATGAAAGTAAAACATACATAAGAATAAACAGAATGCTTTGCAAATGATTCAAAACTAATCAGACAAGGATGTGTAATGTACTCTTTATTATATTTAATATCTTTATTATATGTATTGCAATTTCAAGTTACACATGCAGTAAATGGTAAAAAAAAAGGTAATATGATTCATTTTGAAACCATGGTCAAGTGTTTACTACACATGAGGAAATGGATGGGGTGATTTTGAAGCATGCAAATACTAGCAGAATGTTAGCGGGTCTGTTGCAAGGAATTAATGTTTCTTGAAATTATTAATTATGCTTTCTGCCAAAGGAGGTGTTACAAAGTACCAGACTGAGGGATCTTTTTTTTTTTTGCATCTGCTATAGTTACTTTAAAAACTGAATCTGTAAACAACTGCATATACTATACAAGTAAGCGTGCATTCAAATTTGCCAAAATATCTCTTTTTTAATTTGTACTCTGCAGACACTGGGTCAGCCTCTGTTCTGTTAAAGATACACAAACCACAAAAGTGCCTAAACTTTTGCATGTTAAGTCATTTCCTGTAACTTTTTCACTTTAGTCTGGACTTTTTTTTAGTTGCCAAGATTACCACAGGCAAAACATATTTGATCCTAAAAATTATAAGTCAAACATCACACATTTGCAATGATACTGGTTTCTATTTGTATGATTAAAGAACAAGAGCCTATCTGATTAAAATCAAGTCCCTTGTAATTCAGAATGCCACTTCCAACATTACCTCCCTCAGCTTTTCTAACCTGATGCGTTTCTGAGTACAGGCACAAAGGACTTGACATACGAGTAGTCCTCAACTTACAACTGGTTGCTTAATGATCATTCAAAGTTACAACAGATCTCACCAGGGATACTTACAATTTGGTTCTGAAGATTTGACAGCCACCTCCTGTCCTGCGACACCGGCACTAGAAAAATAGTCCACATTTGTGGCCATTTGCTGCATCCCAGTCATTTTGTGACTTTTTTTTGCCATTTTTTTGGGCAAAACTGACATTTACTTTCAGGGTTTTGGCAAAAACACCCATAGTGAACAACTGGTTCACTTAACAATCGCTTTATGACTAATGTGTTCACTTAACAAGTGCCACAAAAAAGATTGGTCACGTGATAACCCATTTTAGGTTCATCACAACTGTAATGAATAGGCTCCATTATGGTCGTAAGTCAAGGACTACTGCCAGTATCTTCCTCACTCTTTGGCAATCTGAGTACAGTATGAGAGCTCCACCTAGCTATTATACTTATTACTATTTAATCAGTTTAACTATAATTTCCTCAATTATTATTCTGAGGAAGAATAGCACTTTTGCGATAGTAGGATACTTTTTGAAGTTTTAATTATAATGAGGAAATACCATACCTTGGTCATTGTTAACTGTTTTCAAATTATCTTATGACCTTCTTAATAACATAAACAGCCAAATAAGTTGCTTTCATTTCTAAGCATCCTCCTGCGATCTTGCAGAGCAATTCTGTTAAAGCTTTCTGACACAAAAACTATAATTAACGATAAATAAAGGATACCCACGTGATTCATTTTCATTTGTCTCTGCAAATAAAAAGGTTGACATGGTGAGACCGAAAGATTTGTTGACTTGTTAACTTTTTGGATTACTTGTTTGTTTAAAATAAAACTAGGCATAAATATTAAAACATGTGCACAAAGCTATATTTGTCACTCAGAGACAGACACCATTTCCTTCAATTCTTTTCCTGACCATCCTGTTTTGCCACTTTTCCTGCCAATCTCAAGAGACCTGCTCTCATGGCACCTCCAGCGGAGTCCCTTGTGAATATATATTATGTTTGAGATAGAAAACTGTTTGCTGAGATAAAATATCACTCACCATGGCAACAACATATACCAAGGAGAGCAGAAAAGTAATAAAAAGAACAAAAGGCAAAGAGCTGACTTACATACAGGTAGCCCTTGACTTACAATGGTTCATTTAGTGATCATGCAGAGTTACAAAGGCACGGAAAAAAGTAACCTACGACCTTACACTTACAACCATCGCAGCATCCCTGTGGTCACACAATCAAAATTCGGACACTTGGCAGCTAACATTTATTTATGGCAGTTGCAGTGTCCCTGGGTCATGTGATCCCCTTTTGTGACCTTCTGACAAGCAAAGTCAGTGAGGAAGTCTTAACGATTTAACGACCATGTTGCCAACCTAACAATTGCAGTATTCACTTAACAACTGGGTAAGCCAGGTCGTGAAATCAGGCAAAACTTATTTAATTGTCTTGCTTAGAGATGGAAATTTTGGGCTCAGTTGTGGTCATAAGGCAAAGACTACTTGTACACAGCTACTGGCTGCAGTTCAACATTTTAAATATTAAAATAGGACACGTTCTATTCACTTCCTTCTCCTTTGCCTTCTTCTGTTTTTCAACCGTCCCTCCAAATGGTCAGGAGGAAGAATTCTATGTTAATTTAACATATTCAGTTCCTTAGGAATCGTTTGAAAGAAGATTTTCCCCTTTAAGGTTCCCCCCTCCCCATAAAATTATCAATTAATTATTGATATTCATGAAATGTAACTGCATAATTACTGACCAGACTCGCTTTCGGAGCTCTCTGAGTCACTGCTGGAACTGTCGTTACCTTCATAAAATGAAAAAAAAATTTGTCTTAGTAATAGTTAAACAGTGATGTAGATTAAAATGATACCATTGAATGTAACATTTGCTCAATCTAGTTCTGACCTTAGAAGAAAATGGTACTGTATGTAGGAAAAATGATGACTTTTCTTATTTGTACAAACTCTTATGAGATCATTTTCAAGACTCCTTAGTGACCCACTATAATTTGGACAGTGCAACCTATATTTTACTTGCTCATTATGTTTAAGGTAAACTGCATCCTAGGCTAAATATGATATAGACATTGTTAAAGAAAACAGCACCTGAAGATCAACTTTTGATTGAGGTTACACCATGTGAGAGTGGAAGATTTGACCCTTCTTTCAAGAACTACAATTACATGATACAAAAATATCTATGCATCAAAATTGCACATAGGTTCTAGTACTTAAAAAATATTAATAATTTTGCATCTCTTTTAGTTAAGACCTTAGCTGGATGGTGTAATTATGCTATGGAAAAAGCTTTGTATGGGATTTTGTTCAAAATTAATCAGTCAATGTTTTTTCCTTCCTCTGTTCCAATTTGTTTGGATGAAGTCCAAATGAGGACTTATGTCATACTAAAACTAAAAAAAAATAAAAATTATCTGCCAGAAGTTTTCAACAGCCATTATTAGATAATAATTTATTTTCCTGTGCAGTTTTCTCAATTTATTTTCTTGTGCAAAATCTTCATTTTCATTGTTACAGATTTAACTATATAATTTGTGGGAAAAGAATGCAAAATTAAATATCCATTGTCTCCCTAAAAAAAGGGGTGGGCAACCCAAGGTCACAAAGGGTCACAAACTCCCTAATTTTTTTTTGTTTGTTTGTTATGGATTCTTTCCAGCTACAAATGCATTGCTGGTATGGAGCTAAGAACTGTAGCCTAAGCCTAAAATTGCATTTGCAAGTTTAAAGAACAAAGAATACCACTGCCAAAATGTAGTAAAATACATTAAAACCTATTTACTGCAGCCCTCCTTCCCCTCTCCCAAATATTAAATGTAGCCTTCACTCTCTATAACAATGTCTGGCCTTTCCTAAAATAAGGGAATATGTGAAAATTACAGCAATCTTGTGAAACAATATTTAAAAAATTATTCTAATTTGTGATCCCTTTCACAAAAATGAAACATATGTTGGTCATTTTTATGTTTCATTTGTACATTTGTTGATCAGCTTTTAATGCAGAACTGGCCAGGCCTTCATCTTAATCAACAACATCAAAAGGTGGCAGAGATAATTTGAAACCATTTCCCAAGACATTATGGGAAGGAATGAGAGCCTCAGGGAAAAATGAGTGTATATGACAAGCAGACTGAAAGGGTTACAAATGCAAAAACAAGACTCACAGAATTTGATTGTCACATCAAAAAGTTTTTAAAAAGTAACAGAGTCTTCTGAATCAAGACAAACTCAAAGAGAATGGCATTTTTTTTAAAGAAGTATTACATAAGATAACAATCATAATTCAGAGAGAAGGAATAGTACAAGATATTTTATTTTCAAAATGAAATAACTGATTTGAAGGAAACTAGGTGGCTTAAGTCAGACTGTAGCAGTTGATTTGGAGGAAGGAAGTTAACAATTTCTGCCCAATTTACTCATCCAATGAAACCATGAAAATCTGTTTTGATTGATTGGAGATACACTTTAAAGAACATAATACTTTCCCTTCAGGCGAAGAGCAATCAATAAAAATATCTTACCTCCTCTCCTAGAGGTCAGTACATTATGAACCAAGGGAAGCCCTATCATTATGCAAAAAGAAGCAGTCAGCGTAACCAGTGACTGCTAAGTACAGGTAGCATTTCTTTAGGAAGAGCTGCTGATAAAAGTTTGAGAACGCAAATCATCTACTTTGCATATCTCCAACTTGATGTGCCATTCATAGATCTAGTGAAAAACTTACTCCAATAGAAGAGAATATATGCAGTTTAAGGTTGAACTATAGAGGTTTTGGTGCTCTGTAAGCTTGGTAATTGTGTGAAGTAGACAACCAAGTTCATGGAGCACAAGAATACCATAGAGAAACTACTGCTTCTAGCTGTTTCTAGATCTTGGACAAATCAAAGGCAAATATATGTGTTCCAGGCTAATGCTGCAGGATTCAATCTGGGTCGTTCACCAGGCCCAGGGGTTTAGTCTTCCAAGCTTTTGGACACATGCTGGAGCCCATCCATAGAGAACTTCTCTCTATCAGAATGTGTGCTTTGGGCTATTATAAGCATAGTATTTATGTGGTGCTTAATAGCCGTCCACCAATACTCCAATCAACAAATAAAAAGCCACACAAATTAGGCACCACATAAATACTATGCATAGAAATGCCAAAAACACACATTCTGGTAGAAAGTAGTTCCTTGAGGATGGGCTTCAGCACGAGCCCAAAAGCTCGGAAGATGAAAGCTCTGATCTCAATGACCGACCTGGATTCTGCAGTCAAAGGGAGTTCTTAGAGGTGAAAATAAACTAAATCAAATTCAGGACTTCAATAGCAACAACACTGATGCCTTATGAAGGATGGTACAAAATGCCATCTCTCCATAGCCTCTTTAAATCATGAGGAAATTATCCAGATATTATCAAAATGGCTACACAGGAGGGCCTAGCAAGGTTCCTATTATATAGGAATAATCTGCTTCCTTCTATGACAGTGAAGGCATAGTGAATAAGCATGATGAAAGCAAGAAGCAAAGATCAGTGGAGGCTCTATTTTCTTTCTTTCTGAAACCCTAAATTTTCTTTGTTTTCAACAATCTATTTTGTTTGGATATGTCTCTTTTTCTGACACCCTCTTTCCCTTTTCTCTTCATCCTTAGCTTCTCAGGAAAGAAAGAAATAATTATATTTAATTAATTTATCTTTACTAATAAAAGATACACTGAAGAGAATTATAGATTTTTGAAAAATTACCTTTGTCATCCTCAGAAGTACCATCAGATTCACTGAAAAAAATCAAATTAATATTTAAGTAGATGAGATCATTTGTAGCATTAAATAGTATTAAATGCATCTTAATAAGAAAAATGGGTGTATTCAGTCATACATTTGAACCATTTCTTTGTTATCTATGATATAAAACCATACTATTGTAGACATTGTAGATTTGCTTTATAAACCTATGAATGAGACATTTGTTTAGTAAAAGTTCTATAGGATCTTTAATCAACAACCTAAGCTCTGTGCCAGAATTTCTAGACCAAAGATTCAATAGGAAGCTTTGTCTAAAGCTGATTGGTTAAAGCTGATTGTTCAGTTTGGGCACATCTCAAATGTTTCATAGCGCATACTTTTATATACCATCTGGAATAATTCAAGGCCGAATTATTACTGTAGCAGAGATTGTATCAAGTTATTCTATGTTAGACTCTTCCTTTTGCAAAGTGTTCCATTTGAAGACTTTTCCTATTAAAAAAAATCTTAAGAATGTGCCACAAGGACCATCACCACTTTGCATCTCAAAAAAAAAGCCAACAAAACAAAACAAAACAGGCAAAGCAAATACACAGGGCATCTGTCATAAATTTACCTTACAAAGATAGAAAACCTTGTCTGATATGATGTTGCTATTAAATTTATATAATTCTTTTAAAAATGTCCGATATGTATGCAAACTGAATGCTAATTTGCCCTCTTTTTTATTACACATTCCTCTTTTGGGGAAATGTATAAATGTATACATTTAGCCATGTATAAATGGCTAAATAAGGGCACACTGGAAAATGAATTCCATCTTCCAGTTCAGTTCATGCTTTACATTTCCAATGGCCAGTTGTATATTTCCATTAAACAAAGAAACAATATCAATATTGTTAGACTATTAGAATTAAAAAAGTTGAAATACAGCATTTACCCTTTCTACTTCAGCAAACAACTCAATAATGGTATCATACTGGGTCTCAGTATATTTTTAAAATGAAGTTAATACAGTAGACTTAAAAAACTTGACTATCAGCTATATTGACATGATGGTCAGAATCCACACAAATGTTGTGTGAGTATGACTATACAAACTAGAAAGATAAGATTTATACACTTTATTTTCCTTTGCATTCTGTTAACTGTCTGACTGTTTCTATGAGATAACAAGCTGCAGAGAATAAAATATTCAACAACAGTACTGTTATATAAATTCAGTGTTGATATTGCTCGCATTTTATTAAAGAAATTAATTTTAAGAAACATACAAAAACTTTGCAAAATATATACTCCAACTTATGACCTCATTTTCTAAAGTATTTTTATAACCATGTCATTTATTCTGTTTTGATTATTGTATATCCAGATTTAATTTAGATTGTTATTTTTACTGTGAGTTCAAGTCCTGCCTTAGCCATGAAAGCCAGCTGGGTGATTTGGGAGCTAATCACTCTCTCTCTCAGCCCAACTCAACTCACAAGATGGTTTTTGTGGGGAAAATAGGATGAGAAAGGATATTGTTGCTACTCTGAGTTATTTGTAAAAATAATAAAGGTGGAATACAAACAAATAAACAATGCAATGCTCCATACTATACCTTCTTGGTTTACAGTCTAATCTTCTCAAGTTTACTCAGAAGTTTAATTGAAGCCTACACAAATATACAGCCACACAAGAGAGAGCGGTAGGTGTAGGACCTTCTAATGAGGTCACAGGATTGCATAGGAAACTATTTAATTAACTATTTAATATCATTCTAGAGCTTTGTTGCCATCAATGAAAAAAACTGGATTAGAAAAGTAATCTGGCATGTGGCAACAAGGTCAGTATGATAAAATAAATATATAAAACACAATCTAATTCATATTTTCATGTTGCTTTACGCTTGCAGATTGTTCTGCTGGAAAATATTTCCTGAATTTGCACATTACTCTATTGTTTTCTCAAGTTACAAGGGATGTACTATTTATTTCTTTTCCAATCCTATTGATAACCAATTCATTTATGTGCCAAAAGAATAAGAAAACTACTTGTATTTTAAAGAATTTACATTTTTGCCAAAACTGGAGGTAAATAAGTGAAAACGTACATACTGTAAAAATGAATTTCTGCAGAGCAAAAAGCAAAGAATTTCATTATGTTAAATATTTCTATCAAAAAATTAGAAAACAGGCCTATCATGGGATATCAGTATTTGAGTATTAATATCAAATTATGTCCATGTCTGGATACACCAATATTTTATAATAGGCATGTTTCATAAGAATAGGAATTGCACAGACAATAACAAACAGTGCACAGAATGGGTTGACCAGGTTGCAAAATAAAGGCCTTAATTTTATATTATTAAGCTTTGGGGGAAAAAAAGATACACAGTTTTCAACCGAGAATAACAATAACAATTAAATGTTAAAAGCAGATCTTTTTAAGAAATCTGGCTACCTAATTCACACAACACAGGAATCCATGGAGAAAGACAACATCTGCAAATATGTCTATGAGGTTATGATCAAATGTTTTCCCCTTTTATATATGTTCTTAGAAAAGAGGAGCAGGTTTTACTCATAATGCTACTTCTGCCATCTTATTGATTTCGTCTACCCATTGCAGACTCTTCTGAACTAACACAAGATTTGTGCTGTGCCATACCAACGTTTAATGCAAATAATATTTTAGCACAGGTGCTGCTCAAATTACAACCATTCATTTAGCGACCATTCAAAGTTACAACAGCACTGGAAAAAGTTACTTACAACCTGTCCTCGCACTTACTACTGTCACAACATCTCCAATGTCACATGATCAAAATTTGGGTGCTTGGCAACTGTCATATAGTTACAATCGTTGCAGCCTTCCAGGGTCATGTGATTGCCATTTGTGACCTTCCTGGCAAGCATCTGACAATGCAAGGTCAATGAGCCGAGGTGGCGCAGCAGTTAGAGTGCAGTACTGCAGGCCACTTTAGCTGACTGTGTTTAGCAGGTCAGCGGTTCAAATCTCACCGGCTCAAGGTTGACTCAGCCTTCCATCCTTCCGGGGTAGGTAAAATGAGGACCCAGATTGTTGGGGGCAATGTAAATATATATATATATATATATATATATATATATATATATATATATATATATATATATATACGTTGCTTACTGGTGTACACCGCTTAGAGAGTGCTTGCACTTAAAGCGGTATATAAGTCTCATAAATAAATAAATGCAGTAAGCCAGATTCTCTTAACAACCGTGTGACTCGCTTAACAATTCATGATCCAGTAACAACCATGCAAAAAGATGGTAAAATCTGGTTAACAACTGCCTTGCTTAGCAACATAAATTCTGGTCCCAGTAGTGGTCGTAAGTTGAGGACTGCTTGTGCATTGATCTCATCTTTGCCTCCTTTCTTTGAGGAAAAAAGAGCATATATATTGGATGTCCACATGGCTATGGGCACTGGGAAACGGGCTTGCAGTGCTCCAGCATATAACTGCTCAAACCTAAAGTCTATCTGTGAACATGTGAACTGGCCTTGAGAGATGGATAAATACAAGTGGTAATGAAGCCATCACAAAGATCTATATTCACATTTGTTTTCACTAGCATAGTTCTAACTTTGACTGAAGAACTACAATCATGTTCATAGAATGTAGAATACAGCACAGTATACCTATTGTCCCAAGCTAAAAGGGGGTTTGTTTCATTTTGATATAGCATCATCAGTAAGCCTACCATTGTGGTTTGTAATCATGGCCTATTCAGGGAGCCCAACCACAATTCATTCAATCATTCTTAGCATTACTTTTTGGCTCAGTTGATTGTTCTTCATCTTTATACTACATAAAATCTACTGAAGCCTAGTCCTCTTGGTGTGTCTGAAAGAATCTTCTCTGGAAATTTTAATGAATTAAATCTAATTCCAACGGAATTTTTTATATCATTTTTTTTATTTCTATTCTACTTTTCCTTTAGGCGTACCACAGTATCCCTTTCCTCAAAATTTTATTTTCTCAACATTAACTCTGTGGGAAGTTTGGATTGAGTAAGTATATAAAGTTCTTCAGTGAGCTTCTGTGGCCATGGACAGATCTGAATCTGGGTCTCCCTTGTGCCAGTTCAACATTTAAGCATTTTACTGAGATTCTTGGCTCTTTTCATAGGTACGAATGGAGAATCTACATATACTTCATTGTGGGAGAGAAATGTGGCAAGAGAAATCATAGAGGTGGGGAAATTCAGTCAGCCTTGATTGTTAATGAGCATAGACCCGGCATCCTTTCATCTTTCTCATAAGTGTTTGGCATCTGCTAAGATATGTTATGCTTCGCTGTATTTGCCTTAACAGTACAGAATGTCAACGAAAGTTTAGAAATTAGTAATAACTTAGATGAGAAGGGAGAGAAGAGGAACCTGATTTAGCTATCAAAAACACTTTTGAGGAAAAAAGACAAAACTAGATAATGTAATGAAATTTATTTGTTGCATTTGTACATAATGTACATTTCTAGCTTTTTATATAGATTTTCCTGCTACATGTAATTTTATCAAAATACATTAGGCTTTTCATGAATTAGTATACAGTATTAGCTTGAAGGTTCTTTTCCTATTTTATAAATGCATTTTGCAAAAACTACAATTTTCTTTCATTCTCTCTCTCTCTATTTTGTGTGTGTGTGTGAGTGTGTGAGTGTGTATCCTTTAAGAGGAAGTTGACTCATGGAAAATGGGAAATGGTTACACTAAGATTTGATCTGATTTCCTTCTGATCTCTAATATTGGTTTGAATGGCTAAAGAAATAAGGATGATGTTCAAGAAAACCAATTTGACTTCAGATATTATTGTATAAGTTGAAAAGCAAACATTGTTGCTAAAATCTTGTGCATCTTAAGGGATGTATTTGATGTTTGCAAACAATTTTCCTAAAGGAAGTTACAATGATATATTAAAATTAATCTCGAAATAAGGATCCCATTTTTTAAGTTAAATGAACATAGCTGGAATATTCAAATTCTTTAAATGCTTCCCATAAACTTTGTTAGCAACCCTTATAAACGTCATCCGAGTTTTTAAAGAAGCCATAATCTGGGTGAAATGACCCATGCTAAAAATCCTATCTGGATGTCAAGTCAGGAAACTGTATCTGAGCTCAAGCTTTCACTCACGCAGGAGAAAAAAAAAACAAAAACAATACAATAACAAGGAAAGATGTCGATTAAGGGAATATCTGGCTGCTGTCCAAAACCAAGAAGAGTCGAATCTGCATGGAAAATCGCTGGGAAATCACCGGGCGAGACTGCAGATTAAAGCAAGAAAATAAAAAAAAAAAACAGGAAGAAAGCAATGGCCTAATTACAATTTTGCCGTCCAGGAAATTGCATGGATGCGCGGTTGTGAATCTTCGAAGAAGAGAAGGGGAGTTTCCTTTCGACACTTATTGTTGAAAAACAATACATTGTAGTAAGTTGTAAACCGCCCATAATCGCCTCACAGCAAGATGAGCGACAAACAAATTAAATAAACGAAGGAACAAACGATTCGACTCTTGCCCGCATAGAACAAAAATCAACCCCACGACGGGCACTTTCCTCCCCGATCCCCCAAAAAGAAGGGACTCGGGGTCTAGAACAGGAGGGAGCTTTCCCACGTGTCAGAGAAAACGGACGCCAAGCTGGAGAGAGGCGTTTCCTCCGCTCCGCCCGTCAACACACCCGCACGCACGCGCACCATTCTCTCGGATGGAGGGCTAGCGATTGTTTTGGCTTTTATTCTGCGAGCATCGCCTTCCTTTACCCGGCCTAAATGTCTCTTGCGGCCCTCTTCCTTGTGCCGCGGAGACTGGCCAGCCGCCACGAAAGTTTCCCGCCTATTTTATTTTCCTAATACCTGCCTTCTCTTCCCTCCCCCCCCCCCGCTCTCCTGCCTTATGCAATGGCGCCCTTCCTTTGTTGCAGCTCCGAGCGGAGCGGGCTGCCAGCGGCTCCCGGACGCTGGGAACGGATGCCAGGAAAGAGAGCCGCGCGCGCTCGCCCTGCACACATCTTGGCCTCTCGGGCGACCCTTTGAAAGTTGCAGGGAGCGGCGAGCCCTCCGCGCAGAGGCAACTCGGTTCACCTCGCGGCGGTTCCAAGTCTTGCCCTGCGCGTCCGTTTACCCTTGCTCGATCCACGACAGACTCACCTGCCCTGCACCTGCCCGCACTCCTCGTTACTCATCCTGGACGCAAAGAAGAAGCGCACCGAACAGAATGAAGCTTCGGCGACCCGGCGCTGATTGGCGGATGAGCGGCTTGGGGAGGGGGCGGAGAAGAAGCGGGCTCAAAACCATCCCCGAACGTGCCGCGGCAGCGCTGAGCGAGGCGTGCCAGAGAAGCAATTAAGGGGGGGAAAAGGCGCCAAAGTTCTCCGAAGGTGCTGAAAGAGAGCCGCGCAGGGCTCCGAGGCATTTAGCCCGGGCTGAACCCTGGTCCCTACCTCCGTTCTCAGGTTATCGGGAACACACTCTCCTCGTCCTCTAGTCCCTTTTACAGATTTTCTGAAGGTAACACTCTGGGAAACCGGATGCTCGAGGACGGTTGGTTGCCTTTTTAGTTCGCACGGACAGCAAAAGAACAGAAACGAAACGGCGGCTTAAACTTAACGTTTTTAAAATGATCACTCGGTCTTCTGCCCAGATGGAGTGCAGTAGTTGAGCGCGTTGCGTTTGTAACCGTACCTGAAGATTCAGGTGAATTCCTTTGGGGGGGCGGGAGGGGGGAACCACTGGAAGAGTTAGGCTTGGGGCAGCCCCTGGCCAATATTTGTCTGAACTGGGCCTCTTGGGTGGCACCCCTCCAAGGAATCCCAGGGCTGAGAAGGTGGGGGGGGGGAAACCACCCATGCCCCAAATATTTGAGCTCACTCTTTCACTGATGCAGGGGGGGAAACAATACAGCCACAGGGGAGGACTTATAATACTTGGCTGGTGACCAAAAGCCAAAGTGGTTTGTGGAGCTCTGCACCTGGGCTGCTGCAGGTAATGAGCTTGGTTTGGTTTACAGCTTGCTTCCATTTGTGGACTCTGGTCAGACTATTTTCCTTCCTTTCTTGTCCCCTTTCCCTCCCAGCTCTGCCACTCAGTTGTCTTGCAGTTCCAAGAACTGAATTTTTTTCCTGATGTCTGAAGATTACTGTTGAGCTTACTGCCTTTGGGTTGGAGGTTTCTCTTTCCTGCATCCTGAATTGTCTGGACTTGACTCACACCTGCTTGTTTTCAAATCCTTTTTTTAAATAAAACAATCTCTCCAATTAAGGTAGCACCAAAACAAAGAAAAAAACCCCTGCTTATTCCAGGTGAGGAATTGACACTTACACACTGATCCACAAAAGGAGAAGTCAGGCTTTATTGGTTTAGAACTTAACCAATGGCTCCTTGTCAAGAACATGTTAATTAATTTTTGTAAATAACAGTTTTAAACAACAGGTTTCCATCACGACATGTTATTTATTTTATAATATTTTAAAAGCTCAAAGGAAAAATGCACACAAAATAAATATATCATCCTTGCTTATCCAAATTATACTAAAGCTAAACCAAGGGGAAAAAACCTGACCAACTACTTATCATATATGTAAGAAGACATTGTGTACTTTACTAATTAATAATTGATGCTATTCCAGAAAACAGTTGAAGGTTTTGTTGACAGTAAACTCACAAAAGGCTCTGAATACATTGTCACCATAAGTTCTTGCATTGAAGATTCCATTTGATCCAAGTGAGGCAAACATTTGGTTTGGTTGGACTCAAGGAAAGTTCCATCATTTTTAGAGACTGTAAGTGGAAAAATTAAAGAGAAGGGGTTTCAGGTAGTCCTCAGCTTATGGCAGCAATTGAGACCAGAATTTCCATAGGAAAGCAACATGATCATAAAGCCCAATGTCACACGACTGCCACTTAGCAACAGCAGTTCTGACAGTCCCACTTGCCATTGTTAAGAAAAGACCTCACGTGATTACAACTTACAACTTCCTACCAGCTTCCCCGTTTACTTTGCTTGTAGGAAGTGAGTAGGGAACATCTAATCATGTGACCACTGAGGCCTGCAATGGCTGGAACTCCAAGGACCAGTCATAAGTCCCCTTGTTCGTAACCTTGAATGGTCACTGAACAAATGATCATAAGCCAACAACTGCCTGTATTCTCTATGCATAGGAATAGACCTCTATTGTTGTAGAGGGCAAGACCAGAACAAATGGATTAAAAGTACAATTGAGGATGTTCTGGCTAGAGATCAGGAGATTCTAAGTGGAATTAGTAGGGGCTCAAGTCACCCCCAAGTGCTCCACTGGATCTTGTACGAGAGAACATCAAAAAAATACACCCCATTGGCAAGAGTGGAGAATAAAAACAAAAAGTCTTGGAAAAAGGCAAAGGTAAATCATTTTGTTATTGCTGCCAATTCATATAGTCACCGAAAGGATAACTCAGCTCAACAGAATCTATTGCTTGTTTCAGACTTATGCTATTATGTTAAAGAACTTATTTTCAAGAGTAGCTCGTGTAGAAAGTATTGCTATAATCAAGACCAAGTCCCTTCTATCAAATCTTCCAAGGGGAGATCCAATCTAGAACTAAAGAGAAATTTCCTGACAGTGAGATCAATTAAACAGTGCAATGGCTTGCCCCCATAAGTTGTGAGTATGCTATCATTGGAGATATTGGACAATTATTTGTCCGGAATAGTATAGGGTTTCCTGCTTCATCAGGGCATTGGACTAGAAGACCGCCAAGCTGCCTTCCAGCTCTGTTATTCGGTATTCCGTAAGACAATGATTAAGAGTGACACTGTGGGGAATGGAGTTATAAGGACCTAAGATTATAAATGAAAATTAGTTATCTGAACTTGTATAGGAAGGAATATTTTTAATCAAGCAAAGCTACCTTTCGATACAACTGATTAATACCTACCATTCTACAAATGTTATGCCTCTGACTATTTGTCTAAGAAATATAGAATAAAGATTAGTGACTCTCCTCTCACACTGCAAGGAAAAACCTGTCAAACTCTCCTGGTCTATTGGCGCTTGATTTATACAGCAAGTTAATACTTGAAACAAGATTAAGAAATTGATAGATAATAACATTATCTTTCTTATTTGTTTATTTGATAACATGTAGGTACCAGTGTAAAAGAATAAACTTTAATAAAGTTTTATTAGTTTTCTTAAAATTTCATTTTATATATAAAATAATTGTATGGCCCTAATAAAAATGTTATTGGTATATTTATTCAGTATATTGTATAAAGTATACTTCCATTTGTTCAGTATAGGGAAAATAGCTTGTTTAGATTTTAAAACGAAATGCCTACTGCCCTGTCAATAATTGCTTGCTGTTATATGAGTCACAAAGCATACATTGAACAGTGAAAAGAATATCTGAGTAAATGACTTGCAGACAAACACACTAAAACTGCTTTGAAAACTCTACAGTCTAGGAGTAAAACTAATATTTGAGAAAATTGACCCAGAGCAAAAACAAAAGAAAGGGGGGGGGGATTGGCCTAGAGATGACCTGAATGGCTCCTCCAACTCTTAGATTCTAGTCTCAGCATAGAAACAGGCTTCTCTCACTTTATGCTAATGTTACATTCCCCAAATGAATTGCAAAAAGCAATACACTGAACTAATCAGGAAAAAAAGGGTTGCTGAGTATTGTGTCTAATGTTGCAAGCCAAATGCACTCATAAATATTTAGAGCATTAATTCTTAAGCACTAGGTTACTCAAACATGTTTTCTTCTTGTCTTTTGTTCTATGTACAGCAAATGCCTCCATATTATCTACAGCTAGATTACTAATGCATGTAGTTATCACTGCAGACAAAGAGCTATCCTACACATTTTATTAGCATTCTTCATTATGTTGCACTAAGTATATTCCCCCAGGATAAAAGTTAGTTCTATAGTTAAGGATCCTTCAACATTTTTGGCTTGATGTAAGATGTCCAGTTTTGTTTATGGTGTTATGTCCTTCTCATTTTAGGCAATGGGATTGAACAAGATACTGATGGCCATTTTGATACCATATTAACAACAATAACAACTGTTGCAGGTGCAAAAATAACTGAAAGGCAATATGCACAATTGGAACAACCACACCGTATAATGGTAAATATGTGAGTGAGGGCAGAAAGGGATTTTGGAAGGAAGAAGTCTTGGCATGTTTCCATATATTGACTATGCTAGTACAAATTGCATAATAGCATTTTCCCCCTTATAAACGAAATTCTTGGATGAAAATGATCAACCACATAAAAGCAAATTTGCATCAAGAATGAGAAACCTGTACTGCTGCTATGTATCTTTGGAGCCTTAAATCTAGAACCTGTTCTTTAGAGCCCTGGTTTTCTATCTGTGATAACATTAGAATTTACTGCCCTTTGTTGATATGCTGTCTTTGGGCTCTAAATGGGTTTTATAAGTTTTGTTTACAAAATGGGCAGATAAAGCACAGAGTTTGTTTGAGAATATAGCAAGATTCTCACAAAATGACAAAGGTAAACAAGCTCCCCAGAGTTGTGGGTTCTTGTATGAGAAGATCTCTGAGATTTGTTTGAGAGGTCCTTGAGATCCATTGTTTGAGAAGATCCCTGAGAAATATACAGGATTTTAAGTTCTGGGACTAAATAAGGTTTTGTTCAGTTTAGCAAATTAATACTGGAAACGTTTTTCAAAGTCTAAATATTTGGAAATTGTTGTTCAGAGACCCAAGGTTCTAGTTTGATTCTTTATCGATGTTCTATCTCTTGTTTGTTACAGGTATGGCTCAAATGTGATTGCAAGCTATTCTATTTCAAAACATCACTGCAGATGGATAGTTGGCTCTCTTCCCAGAAATTATTCTTCTTTTTAGTTATTTTTAAAACCCAAGACACAAACAGAGTTCAGTGAACTTGGCAAAGTCCCAGGAATTAAGTTGTGTGAAAATCTGTGAGATCCAAACAACTGCTCAGAAGGTCCACGAGCCCCAAGGGTAGGCTATTTTCCTGCCCATTGGTTGAATATTAATATCTTTGGGTATGTCAGAAGGCCTCTTGTTCTTGAATATGTTGTGAGCTTCAAACCACTTTTTTATGGAAAGCAGCAAAAATAAGAAAAACAGGCCTAGATTCTACTGGGTATATACACCTAAACTGCTATTTGGATAAAGTTTATTATAGAAATATACATCCTCAAAGACCATTTGTACTCTAGAAGACAAGAAGATGAAGTTATTTCTGTGTCCAAATGTATCCTTACTCAGGGTACATCCATTCTCATATAACACAGTACATTTTTTTACTGTAATGGAATTCAATTGATAAAATTCTATCTGCAAAGAGATTTATCTTTCATCAATAGATTTAAACATTTTGGGGGAAATCCTACCAAAAAGTCTTTTCAGTGCAATAGTAAAGAGTGCTAAAATGCTAATATTGCCATTATTAGAATGCTAATAATGAAGCCTAAAGTTCCATGCAACAGCATCAGCTGGATAATGTTAGCTGTGGTTAATATAACTATAAGCAAATATTGCATATCTGTTTGAATTTTGTGACCACTATTTTTTATGTTTTAATATTTAATATTGGCTTTTCTATTGTTCCTGTGAATATACCATTTGCTGATAGTCCAATCCAATCTTTACAATTTATTTTTGGGGTAAGGCAGGTTATTGGAAGGCAAATGTCCATATGTTCAAAAAGAGGCAAAGAGGAAGATCTGAAGAAATAAAGATTACTTAGCTTGACTGTTAACTGAGAAGATCCGGTGAACGTGCTGGCCTAGAAACCAGACTATGAGTTCTAGTCCCACTTTAGGCATGAAAGATGGCTGGGTGACTTTGGGCCAGTCACTCTCTCTCAACCCAACCCATTCAGAGAGTTATTATTGTGGAGAAAATAGAATGAAGGAGTAATTGTGTGTTTTCACTGCCTTGAGTTACTTTAAAGGCAGGATAATAATCTAATAAATAAAAGTCAGAATGGTATATCAAGAACAAATCTTGCCACATTAATCTCATTTTTTAGATTGAGTCATTTTCTTCATAAATTGTGATAATGCCGTATATCTAATACATTTCTGCAAAACTATTGAAAAAATATTCTATGCACTTTGATGAGCCAGTTAGTTAAGTGTAGACTGGATAATATTGTAATTAAATGGATAGATAGTTGCAGTGGTTCCTCATCAAATGAGTAAGGTTTCAAATGAAATGTCTTATGGTTCGATCCTAAAGATCAAACAACTCTTCAATGTTTTTATTAATTAATCAGATGAAAAAAAATCTTCACTTAAGTACTATAAAAAACTTTTTAAAAGGTCAGAGAAGGATGACAAGGATTATTTGAATGTTAGAAATAACGTTCTTATGAAGATGCTAAAAAAGGAAGTATGCACACTCAGTGATCTTTTGCAGGTGCTGACTGTGGTTTGATTAAAATGGCTATTCCCTTGTTTCCCAGAGCACTAAACCCAAACTTTTCTTTGAAAGGGGAATTTAAATTTTGGTCTTTTCATAAAATGTAGTATGACAGCATGAGCTCACAGCTCAACATTGTACTTTTAATTAAGGGCTCTTCCCATTAGGATCTTTGCATTACTTCAGAATCATGTAATAAAGGCTGGATAAAAATCAAATAAATAAATAAATATGCACAAATATACATTTCACTGTAATGTGTGTATACAGAGATAGAGAGAGATAGAGAGACATACACAAACATATGTTACAGGTACAGTATATTTTATTTACAGATTAATATCAATAAACATTAAATAATATGCTTTATGCTTAAAAAGAAAGACCCTGAAGGCAGTTACAAGTCAAAAGAATTAATTTGTTCTTAAGTTACAGTCCAGATATCTGGAATCTGTCAGTTTATGAAGAACTAGAATTTATTATACAAAGAATGCTGAACAAAGATAATTATATATTCTTGGAGTGATATTCGTGTACTGACTGTAAAAGTCAATGTAGTTTTATTTGTCAACTTCTGCCGTTGGCTTTTATCCAAGGAGAGGCAAGATCAGAAAATATTATTCCATACAGTCTATTAGTTTCAAATCACTTTTTAAAAAATTAACGGTATATTCATATAAAATTAATAACTTCAGAATGTAAAATTATACAATTTTGAGACTTGAATAGTTTGGTATTTGCAGTCATGGGGTTTTATATATTTTTTTCTTTTTCTCTGTTTTTTATTTTGTTTTGTTGCAGGTTTTTTTAGCTCCATATTTTGATTTTGTCACCTCGTGAAAGATCGTGAAATTGAAATTGATTGATTGACCTGTTTTTCCCCAAAAAAACTTCCTTTGTTTCCTTGCACGCAGCGGTAGCAGCGGATCGCGAAGGAGAAACAGCACAGGGCTGGGAGTCAGGTCAGGAAAGAAAGGAAATTTCTGGGGGGGAGCGAGGATTTCTTTCCTTACTTGCCCTTCTTGTTCTGAGGCTGCTTTCTCCTCAACCACGTTGCTCTTGCCAATGGCCTGACTGCCCACTTCAGCACCCTCCCTCCCTGAGCCTCTGGTGTTCCACCTGCTGCTTTGGTCGGCCTGCCGGCCCCCACCTCAACACCTTGCCCACTGCTGCCCAGCTCAGCCGCCCCGGGGCTGCAAGGGCTGGCCTGGCATGGGAAGAGCGCATGCCCCACTCTCCCACCACCATTCAGGGTAAGGTTGCCGCCCCCGCCCAGATGCCCTCGCCTCCCCCAAGTGTTTTTTTACTAACCTGACTTTCAGCTGCATTCCGATTCTCCATTCGTTTCTCAGTCTTTGCCGCATGTTTGTGGGATTATCGGTAAAAAATAAAAGTTCCATCAGACTTTCTAACTTCTTGAGATCTCGTGAGAAGTTAGAAAGCCTGATGGAACTTTTTTTTTTAACACTAGTCGCACAAACACGCGGTGAAGGCTGGGAAGTGAACAGTGAAACGGAATGCAGCTGAAAGGGAGGTTAGTAAAAAACACTTGGGGAAGGCGAGGGCATCTGGGTGGGGGCAGGGGCAGCCATCTTACCCTGTGTGGCTTCAGCAGGTGTCTGGCAGAGGGAGGGCAGCAACTGGTCTACTACCATGCTAGCGCCACCACATTGCTTCTCCACCCCATGCACAGGTCCTGCCCTATCCCTCGCATGGAGCACCCTGCTCCTGTCGCTCCACTCCAACCCTCCGCACGGAGCCCCCTGCCACCGCTCCCCCACCCCACACAGCACCTTCTTTCCAGCTCCGACGCATCACTTCCTCTGCCACTGTGGGACTAAAAATAAAGTTCAATCAATCAATTCCAATTTCACGAGATTTTTTTTCCCACGAGAAGTTGAAATTGATTGATTGAACTTTTTTTTTTTTTGCACATGGCGGCAGAGGCCTAAAGCGAAAAGGTTTTATAAAACCCAGCTTAAAAAGCCACTTGTCCTGGGAGATTTTGGTGCAGGTTGCTCATGGACGGGACTGAAGGCCTAGGACTGGGGCAACAGCACATGTGCTCACAGAGAGGGCTCTGCGTGCCGCCTGTGGCATGCATGCCATAGGCTCACTACAACGGGTATAGAGTTTCCTGTCTGAACAGGAAGTTGGACTAGGACCTCCAAGGTCCCTTCTAACTCTGTTATTCTATTCTATTCTATTCTATTCTATTCTATTCTATTCTATTCTATTCTATTCTGTTCTGTTCTGTTCTATTCTATTCTATTCTATTATTCTATTCAGCTGATTCTATTTGAAACACTGAAGTCCTCCAAAAAGTTTTTTGGGGGGATGTTTTCTCACTGATAGGAATTCTTATTTCACCGCCTCCAGCACTCAAGCTGATCTCTTCTTCCTTTCCACTGGGTTCCACTATTGTAGCATCAGAATGTTTACATCATAATTTCTCAGCTGTTTAATTGCACAAGGATTGTGACTTTGTTGCTTTGCAACTCTACTTCACAGCAAACATTTTGTTTCCTGAAGAAAACTGGATGGGAGATTATATCAGCTGAGAATGTCTTTTTTTGGTTAGCAGAAGTAAAATCTGAAAATCAGCAGAAGTAAAAGTGATCACTAATTGGCTTCAAAATTCTTTTTAAAGCTGAAGGAATGAAAATGAAGTGAAAGTGTTTTCCATCACACTTCCTTTTCTCATGACATAATTATTACTGAAACAGCTGACAATATCAGTCTCAAACCAGTTTTAAACTTAAAAACTAAAAGATGTAACTAAATTATGAACACCAAACAATTGTGGCAATACTGAAAGCAATTGATACTTTGTTCGCAATCATCATTAAAACTTTAGCTGTGAATATAATTCTTATTTACTTAATTCACTGGAATTACCTCTACTGAAAACAATGTGATAAATGTGCCAATTATGAATGAAACTCATTTTTGAACATGTGATATAATGGATGATGGGCTATGAAAAACGCTATACTTTGCAAGGTTGAGGAGTAGAATTGGTAGATAGATGGATTGAGGATTACTAAAATGACCTTGGAAGAGCTGCAGATGATCATTGGAGATAGATCAAGATGACAGGCATTTGGCTACATAATTACCAGAGTTGGGCTCAATTTGATCTATCAACTCTTCAAGGTAGGGCATGTCACAAGAAAGTCATTGCAAGGATGTTACAGTATTGTTGCATTATTTGTTGTTGTTAATTGTGAAGTCGTGTCCGACCCATCGCGACCCCATGGACAAAGTTCCTCCCGGTCTTCCTGTTCTCCACCATCTTCTGGAATCCATTTAAGTTCACACCTACTGCTTCAGTGACTCCATCCAGCCATCTCATTCTCTGTCGTCCCCTTCTTCTATTGCCCTCAATCTTTCCCAGCATTAGGCTCTTCTCCAGTGAATCCTTCCTTCTCATTAGGTGGCCAAAGTACTTGAGTTTCAACTTCAGGATCTGGCCTTCTAAAGAGCAGTCGGGTTGATCTCTTCTAGGACTGACCGGTTTGAACGCCTTGCAGTCCAAGGGACTCGCAGGAGTCTTCTCCAGCACCATAGTTCAAAGGCCTCAATTCTTTGGCGCTCAGCCTTTCTTATGGTCCAACTTTCACAGCCATACATTGCAACTGGGAAAACCATGGCCTGTACTATACGTACTTTTGTTGGCAGGGTGATGTCTCTGCTTTTTAGTATGCTGTCTAGATTTGCCATAGCTTTCCTCCCCAGGAGCAAGCGTCTTTTAATTTCTTGGCTGCAGTCCCATCTGAGGTGATTTTTGAGCCCAGAAAAATAAAATCTGTCACTACCTCCATTTCTTCCCCATCTATTTGCCAGGAATTGAGAGGGCCAGATGCCATGATTTTGGTTTTCTTAATGTTGAGTTTCAAGCCAACTTTTGCACTCTCCTTCACCCGCATCAAGAGGCTCTTTAGTTCCTCTTCACTTTCTGCCATTAGAGTGGTATCATCTGCATATCTTAGGTTGTTGATATTTCTCCCGGCAATCTTAATTCCAACTTTTGATTCATCTAGCCCTGCCTTTCTCATGATGTGCTCTGCATATAAGTTAAATAGGCAGGCGACAGTATACAGCCTTGCCAGACTCCTTTTCCAATTTTGAACCAATCAGTGGTTCCGTGTCCAGTTCTCACTGTTGCTTCCTGACCTGCATATAGGTTTCTCAAGAGACAAATGAGATGGTCTGGTACTCCCATCTCTTTAAGAACTTGCCACAATTTGTTGTGATCCACACAATCAAAGGCTTTTGCATAGTCAATGAAGCAGAAGTAGATATTTTTCTGGAACTCCCTAGCTTTCTCCATGATCCAGCGTATGTTGGCAATTTGATCTCTAGTTCCTCTGCCTCTTCGAAATCCTGCCTGCACTTCTGGTAGTTCTCGGTCCACATACTGCTGGAGTCTAGCTTGTAGGATTTTAAGCATAATTTTACTAGCATGTGAAATGAGTGCAATGGTGCGATACTTTGAACATTCTTTGGCATTGCCTTTCTTTGGAATTGGAATGTAAACTGACCTTTTCCAATCCTGTGGCCACTGTTGAGTTTTC